TCTTCTTCGATACGGTCGGAGCTTCTATCGCGATATATTCCCGTCATTTTAACGATTAAACGATTTCATCGACGTTCCTAGAGTAGATACTATTGACATCCTAACGGAGATGGAAAATAGGAGAAACAATTAATTACAAACGAACGACTCGTGCTACGCTACTTTTCCTCGATGATCACTGAAATTCGATGATCTACGGTATGGGCGTTTCAAGAATAGTATCAACAAGAATAGGAGTCGTAACGTCATAAGCAAACAAGTCCAACACTTTTATCCCATTACGATCAAGCAAGCCTCGCCTAATTGAATTAAGACCATAAGTTCCCTATAATGACATACACAAGACTATGAGAAAAAAGCTAATAGCAAGTTGCAAAGTACATAAAATTTGATCCTTCTATATCTATGACGAAGAGAAACTCAACGAGGAGAGGTAAAACTATCAGAGAGGCGAGGTAAGGTGAGGTTCGTCTATTAAAAATTATACTTTACCTATCCCATGTATTCTATTGTACGTTTTCTATACGTTCCTTTGAACTTGGCACAAACGCGTAAAAGCTCGCAGTCTGTTCGTCGGCAACCAAAGAACCAGTCGCGCGCTAACGACAGTTTTGTCGCTTAGGAAAAGAGCATTTGACGACGCAGAACGACGTTTCCTAGCTACTTAACTCGCAGCAATCAAAAATTCAATTCCTTCTTCGTGTAACGACGCCTTGCGATAATAAAAGGCTCTTGTGATTCTTCTTGTAATTTACGGTATACGTAAATGCTAAAGCGACAGTTTTGTCGCTAACGCGCGTACAGCCTCATCCGCGACAACTTCGATCGTTCTTGTTCCGATAAAGCATAATCTATCCATCTTTTCCTCCTTAGAATTTCGTTCGTCTGCGCTCGACCAAATTAATTCGACAACAAACGTGGAATATTATTTCGGTCTCGTGGCAAACTGATGGGCGAAACAGTGGGGGGGGAAACGTGAGGCCATTTCGCGAATTTCGTCGGCGAAATAGTCGTGGGAAATGTAAAAGCGTTTCCTCGTTACATTCACGCATGGACCCATCACGCGACAAATACGTTTTTATCCGTGACGTGGCGAGAATTAAATTTCCCCCCCGTCGTACTTTCCTTGAATAGGCTAGCGGGGAATGTAGAAGGGACAAACAGCGAAGAGGAGCCAGCAACGATGCAGTGGCGAACAGTGGGAAAAATCGCGCAACTCTACCCTTTCGCTCTTCTGAAAAAACCTGTGCATGCTTTTTATCTCAAGATCACCGGCTAAATTTTAATTACGACCCGAGCTACAGAGTGTATAACTTTTATTACGTGGCTTATTTCGCTGGTTGCGGTGAAGGGCGGAAACCAGAGTCGAAGAACTCGGATTTCACCGTGTTACGCAGCTGATATGCGAAACAAAGAGATTTTTCTGCCGGATTGTTCACGATTCGTAGATCGTCATCGACGTTTTGACGATTTGTGATTCATTTGTATCGTCGTTTGCATCGAACCCCTAGCCATAACATCGTACGTACGATTTAGAATAATAAAATACTTTTGACTCTGATGGCCTTTGTCGTTTAATAGAAAAAATGTCAATGTTTCCGCGCGAGCAGAGGTAAAGGTAAATATAGTTTGGCGTTTGCGCGAACCCATTGATCTTACGCTTTATTCATCGACCGTTCTTACTATTTACGTTAACTTCGAATTTCCAAAATTACATTTCGTATAGCTCTTTCCACGATCCGCGCAACTTTTACACATCGTATGTTCGCTGTCCGGTCTTTCGCTAGTTAACAACGTTCACGCTTCGGAACGTAAATTGTAAACGATCCGTCAATAGCAATGTCGATCTCCGTCGATAACCTCCTAATCGAGCGTTGATGTTCCTGCTTGCGAGCAATGCGGAAGAGCACGCACGGAAAGGAATCGTAAAAGGAAACCGAGCAAAACGATGGCCAAGTTTCCTGCTCTCGTGTCGTCGTTCCCGTTCGATACATCCACTCTTCCTGATCCACGTGACAGACCGTCCGACAAAGCCGGTCGTGCGAGAAAATCGTGATTTTCTCCGCGCTAAAATCTCGATCCGTACGATCGAACGATCGCGACAAACGTGACCGAAACGAACGACACATACACATCGGCCAAACTATCCTTCGGTTCATCAAGGACAACGCGTTGGAACCACGAGTAACGATACACAGACTCGAATACGTTGCAAGTATGTAAAAGCGAAGCGATGCTTTCCAGTAGAATCAAACCTAATCCTGCTTCTTCCTCCTCGCTTCTTCTTCTTCACCGTTGTATCTCTTCCGACATTTTCTTCTTTTTTTCAACTATTTTATTCGTAAAAACCGTGAAACGGGCACAAGATACGGAAATTACATCGAATAGTAAAAGCAAATATTTGAAAACTGTGTATATTTTATCCCTGCCGAGGTCGTAAAATTCTGTGAGATACGACAATTCAAAATCTATGCTGCAGTACTTATTTTTGCGAAAAAAGAACCGTACAGATATGTATGAAGAGTCCTTCGTCGTGCTAAAATTAATACGAAACGTGATATATACGTATATTTACAGTATATGGAAGATATATATAAATATAAAGAGTGAACAATTACGAATTTAAAGATATTTAGAATCGAATTTTACACGTATCTGTCAGATCAACCGCGACCTTTGGAAGGTTAATAATATCTATTGATATATAATGTTCATTTCGGATGATATAGGAGCAAGGTTAAACGCGACAGATTCAAACCCCCTGTGAGTACTTTGAGAAACGAAGTAAGGTCTGTCAAGTAGAATAATCGTCGAGTAGGTTCGAAATTATATGAACGTCTTAGCAAAAATTCTCCGTTCTCTCAAAAGTATTTTTTCCGACTATCATTGAAATCTGCTATCGTAATTCTACGCTGATAATAATCGATCACATGCAGCCTGTAAAGGCATAAACAGGACATACGTATTTCTGAATTTCACGACTCGATCGGTACTCGCAGGAGTATCGATTAGTTCCGATATCAAAGTACTTGTAAGTAGATTTTTGAAACTCGCAAGTACTCGTTTCGAGGTTCGCAAGCAGCTTGCGAAGGTCGAATACTTCGCGAAGTACGATGAATCAACTATTTATATGTTATGAGTAATATTCGAACGGTACGAGCCTTGAGTATTGATTCGGATTTATAAGTACGTAGGTACATGTTAAACTCGATCCCACCACTAACCATGAGGAAACAAACTGCCAGAAATAATTCCGCGAATGTTGCGCTTCGAAAATAAGTATCGCGATATTTCACACGGTTGTGCAACGCCCCTGCTCTCTATTAACAATTTACGATCCGATTCGCAGGCACGAGTTTCAAACGCTTCGGTTTTCCTTCGATTTTAATCGATCGTGTGTAAAGCGTTCGAACGCGTCGCGAGAAGTTCCCTCTGTTTTTCAGTGACGTTAGTAAGGGAAGTTCTATAGCGTGAATAATAAATCGTCTTTGATTCGCTTCTATTACGGGCAGCGACTCCATTTTGTCTCTAGAAGGTGAAGAAGTCGCGTAAAAGAGACGTTAGAACGATGTAATACGAGTTCAAATACGATAGAACGTAGTGGGTATTCCTTGAAAAGGATTACGTTGGCGTACGATGAAAAATTTACCGACGTATATATTAATTCTATCCCGATGTGTTATTGTAAATTTCGCGCGTCATCGTGTTGATCAAATATCGATAGCGATCGATGCGTTGCACTGGAAGCTGCACGTTCGATCAAAAAGCAGCTACACAACTAGTAAGCGTCACATAAGTTGGTATACAAGACCGACAGTTTCGTGAAAGTTAATCGAAAATTGGCGAGACAGGTGCCTGCAGCTAATAATCGGCGACTCGAACGACCGTCCAATATATATCACGAGCAAGCACGATCCAGGATTCTATATAAGAGACTTCAGGTTTTCTATGACGAACAAAGCGTATGTACTTGTTTTTCGTAGGACTGCGATAATAAAACAGTTGGCGCGGTCGCCTGCTACCTATGTAACGTCTGATAATGCGTGTGTCGTGTGACGAAGCGTAATCCAGCGGCATATGATGTGACAGAGAGCGTATAGCGAGCCCTCCGCGGGTCTCGCGTTGCGGAAAAATCAATAACAAGCGTGGTCTGGCGTGGCGCGTCACTC